AAGTAAGGCAAAGTCACACAATTACCTAATAAAGAGTGTACATCCAAAAATGCAAATTTTATACAATTTTGATCTGATATTTTGGAATAGACCTATATAAAAACTTCAAACTAGTTCTTCAATCTTCATCACGAAAATGTAATTAAAATTCAGCATCTGAAGCAAGTTTGAGAGTTTTCATCCCTTGATGCATCATTTGTGCAGGTTTGCTTTATATTAGCCTTATATTTTCTTGGTAATAGACCTGCACCCATAACTTTTACCTGGTCCATTATCTGGAAAATGTATGTCGAATTCAGCATCCGAAGCAAATCCATTAGTGTACATCCTAAGATGTATCATCCGTGCATGTTTGCACAACATAGGGCTCATAGTTACTTGGAAATGAAACCTTCATAAAAATTTAACTTCTTTATTCATCCAGAAAATGTAGGTCAGATTCAGCATCCGAAGCCAGCCTGGTAGTATGCATCCTAAGATGTATCATCCATGCAAGTTTAGTCATTATAGGGCTCATATTTCCTTGGAAATGAGACCTGCACCAAAAACTTTAAGCTGTACACTCATCCGGAAAATGTAGGTCAGATTCAGTATCCGAAGAAAGTCTGGTAGTGTGCATACTAAGATGTACCATCCATGCAAGTTTGGTCATAATAGGTCTAATAGTATCTTGGAAATGAATCCTGCACCAAAAACTTTAACCTATTCACTCATGCGGAAAATGTAGGTCAGATTCAGCATCCGAAGCAAGCCTGGTAGTGTGCATCCTTAGATGTATCATCCATGCAAGTTTAGTCAATATAGGACTTATAGTTACTTGGAAATAAGACCTGCACCAAAAACTTTTAACCTGTTCACTCATGCGGAAATTGTAGGTCAGATTCAGCATCCGAAGCAAGCCTGGTAGTGTGCATCCTTAGATGTATCATCCATGCAAGTTTGGTCAATATAGGACTTATAGTTACTTGGAAATAAGACCTGCACCAAAAACGTTTAACCTGTTCACTCATGCGGAAAACGTAGGTCAGATTCAGCATCCGAAGCAAGCCTGGTAGTGTGCATCTTTAGATGTATCATCCATGCAATTTTGGTCAACATAGGGCTTATATTATACTTTCATGTAAAGAACTATATGCGGTATATTGCATATGTTTGCCCCCACAAAAGTCAAATTTTGAAAACTTCCTGAAATGTGCTGAATTCAATAAATTGTACGAGAAATATAAGTTAACACAAAATATTATAGTTCCAGAGCAGTGTATTCACAATTTCTGTTTTTATGACGTCACAAACTAGTCCGATTTTATATCCTTTTTCAGAAAGAGGACAAAATGGACAAAATTTCAACAATTTAAGCTTTAGAATTTATAGAGCGCATGTGTGTTCAGGAACAATATTGACATATTTCATTGATATTATCATTCTACACATTATATCAAAATATTAATCCTGAACACACATGCGCTCGGTGACTTTTATTTAAAATATCAACGAAATATGTACATTTTTCTGCAAAATTCATTGAAATATCATATTTGTGACATTTCATGTAAATTTGTTTAATCTGTTTAAGGACTTAATTAAATAGATTGGTCGTCGAAAAACATTTGTTAAAAAACACTATTACCCGCTGAATAATGAAGCCACGCCCTCCAGCGTAGCAACAGTCAACAGTGCTTGACAACGGGTGATATTCCAAAAAATAACGACTGCGCAGAATTTATGCGCGCACGGTTCACTGTTATATGTATTTGTATAAAACATTCAGTATAATATAATAAATATTGCATGTAGTTGAGTGTAACATTGAAAATTTTAACCCCTCGAAAACCATTGTTTTTTCTTGGGGTGAAAATTTTCAATGTTACACTCAACTACATGCAATATTTATATAATAGTTCCTTGGAAATGACACCTACACCAAAAACTGCACCAAAATGTTAACTTGCTCCAAAAACATCAACCTGGTCATTCCTTCCCTGAAATTGCAGCATGTGAAACTTTGACTGGTACAATGAAACGTATTAGAAGCATCTTCCATGCATGTCTTATCAATATAGGACATAGAAGTATATGTACTTAAAAAGAAAACTGCTCCAAAAAAAACTTAACCTGGGACCCGACACCGACGCCGAGGGTATTACATAAGCTCCCCCAACTTCGTTGAGGTGAGCTAAAAATGAATTAGCATATAATATACAGTAACTGACATGGCGATATAAAATATTGGTTTTTATTGCATGTATTTAAAAATTTTATATGCAAAAAACATATGTGATGTAAATATTTTAAAATGAATCTTTCGAAGAGTAGTCAGGAAAATGAGAATGAATTATTTCCAATAATTTCATTGTAATTTTTCATTTGAGGGTTGTGGAAACATTAATACTTTGATTTTAGATTCTCTCGTAATATGTTATGGGTGATTTTTTTTTCTTTGCAGGGAAATGTATGAACTATCATGTCAGTAGTACACTTTTAGACTTATTAACAACTTTGATGACGCTACAAAGCAGAGGACACATGCGTTCCTTACATTGGAACACCCTGGTTGACAATTCTTGATACATATAACATCAAATAATAATCCTTTATAATGTCATCCATTTCGTTATGAATTTTCACACAATTCATACAGGATATTATAGTCAAGATTTATAATGTTTTAATCTGTGTCAAATATTATTTCATCTGGGAATAAACAAGACATCTCTGATGAAGGCATTCTTAAAAAGACGAAAAGGTTGTGGTGCACGGACCATCGATATTGTACCCTGTTTCAATATGCTTGGGGCATTCCAACCTTATACTATTGCCAAAATAGCGAAAATGTTTAAGAAATACTTCAGATGTTTTCGTTTTTTATTCTTCTATTATTTAGTAGAAGTTCTAACTGTAGAAAATCATGCACACGAAGGGCTGCTATTTATATAGGGACACAAAAATTATGGAAGATGAGTAGACAAAGTGGGCGAAATGCTTATACATGACATGTAGTACGACAAACATGAAGTGAACAATGATATCAAATTATCAATTATATCAAAATTTTCTTTGATATTTCTGCTAACAATTTTAAGTAATATGCTTTATAAAAAGTATCTACAATTTAAAAAAAAACAACTTACAAACACTGAAGTTTTGTTTGACTATGAAATACCGGTAGCAATATATACTCTCTACTGACACATGCTCGCGTACACACAAAAGAGAAATAGTGCGCTTGTTTTAATTTGTTATAATTCAATTTCTATGCTTATGTCTGAGTTTTGAGATAGATATTTACTAAATCAATCCAGAACTATTAATCTGAATTTAAACAATTCTTCAAATATCCGTTTTTTTTATGTCAAAAATCTTGACGTAATTGCAGAGGTTCTGAGAGAGAAACGAACGACAAAAGTTTGAACATACAAATATTCTTTTTTTTTTTTAGGTAATCTTAAATATTCATTTTTGTTTACAAAAATATGGAGCAAAAACCCACTATACCTTAAAAATACACGTTTATGACAACACATTCGATCTTTCTGTCATATTATTATTTTTGAATTTACCGGGTGGTAGTGAATACAAAAATTACAACATGACATGTCATATTGTAATTTTTGTATTTACTACCACCCGGTATATTCAAAAATTACAATATGAGTATATGACATTTCCGAAAAATAATTGAAGTCCATGAAATCTATACTTATATCAAAAACGTGATTTAAATGCCACAATTTATGAGGAGCTGTATAAGTAGTATTATGATATCCGGAAATTTATTGCTAAAGGTTCGAATCCCGTGAATACCATAAGTTTTTAATTCTTATTTAAGATTTTTTTTAATTTCCGAGACATTTTTTTCCTTAATTTCTTTTTAAATAATTTCTTAAATTTCAATAATAATAACTATTGAATATGATTTTTTACATATCTGAAGCTATAGGCATTCTGCATGCCTTGTCCACCGATATTCTTTATTAATTGATTCCATGTATTTTTTGCGTTTTATTTCATCTTTTTTTTTTTTTTTAATGGCTTCGTTAGATATGGTTACTTATGTTTCATAATATTAAATGAATGTGTTCCTACTGTGACTTTTTTTTTAAATGGGTAAAATCTCAGTTATTTATTATGTAAAATAACGTATGACTCAATAAACTATATTATCGTGCATTTTATATAAACATAACTTATTCTAATTCAATCAGTTTATCAGATATGCTCTTGAAAATCTTGACTCTGACTTCAGATATTGAAAAATTGTAGACTCTGATTAAATTATCATAATCCTATAACAGTGTTTTTATATACTTATGTAATACCTAGAGCCTACAATTTATAAGTGCATTATGTTCTAATCCCATTGCGCGGATTATGAACCATTCACATTTATTGTATTAATTTAATGCTGCAGAAAGGGCATCGCAATTTTGTAATAAAATAGAAGTTTTCATTATTAATTTTCATGAAAAGCAACCAATTCATGTTCCTCAAAAATATAAAACAAATTGAGAGAGTCACACAAAAAATGTCTTAGGCAGACAAGATACCACAGGGTCATATTTCTTATATAACCTTTATGGGGTATGTATTTATATTTAAAAAGCAATTTCCAGAATTATTTTTATATTAAATCATATATTTCTTTATCTTATAAGAATGCTAATTTTATGTAAGTAACTCTTTGAAAAGTATGATTGTGTTTCATTGCTGTATCATGGTATTTTTTTTTCTTTATTGCATGTCTCGTGTTTAACGTAATTTATAAAGGGTATACGTTGCTAAAAAAGATGTTTGTTTTTTTAAAATATTTTTAACATATGTTTAACATAGCCTAATATTTCATTTGACGGTTTGAATACCAACATCAGCTTAAAATATACTTACATATGTATAAGTAAAATATCGATATTCAATAACCCAGTTTATATTAAATTTCAAATAAGAAATAACTCAGTGGTAGGATTCATACAAAACAACGTTTAATATGAGTTTTCAACACACATAATCACTCGGTTATTCTCACAGACAGACATACAGACACGTGCAAAATAGTACAACGTGGTACACTTATAATTATGCTTCACTGAAGTCCGATCCGCATATTGTCAATGCAGGCAGAAATCGTTGTTGTGTACATAAAATATATAAGGAGAGTATTTTCTCGTACAATCTCGGTCAAATCGAGACAGCTGAAAGTTATACGACATCGTATGTAATACTTTGAATTCTGCAAATAAAACTATGAGATAGAAATTATTATGCCTGGATTCTGTTAATGTTTTAAAAAAAACAATTTATGACATTGCACCATTCATTTACGTTACTCGATTTGTGCTAAATGACATGTGATTAATGTAGAAGACATTGGCACACTCATACAATGGCGTACGGAAAATGCAAATTTTCGGCATGTCAACAACGTACAAGAGAGGGTTAGTTCATACATTAATGAAATGTGTAATGTTTACTCTTCAGCATTTAAATATCATAGATGAGAGTTTTTGAGACAACTTGTAAACACGTTTCTGGCGAATCCACTTGGGGAAAGCACAGTATTTTTGAACGCAGACATACACTGGCTCCTCTGGTGCGTGGGACTTCGTGTCTCCATGACAACCATCGACGCGGGTTTCCACCAGTCGCGCCTCGGAAAGTCGGCACACATCGTTGACTCAGTGAATCAGAATGTGCTCATCGTTAATATAACATATTTGGTCAAATCAACATAAATAATTTTAAAATCACAGAACTTGGAATTTGGGCCACGATGACGTATCCTTGTACTCGAGACAGTCTGTGTGATTGGCTCTTGGAATCTGAGGAGCCGGCATAGACCCGTATGATACCTGGTTTCCGTTCATTTGGTTCATTTGATTTGACATCACCGGAAGTTGCATGTGGTTGAGGTAGCCCATGTCACTATAGTAACTAGAGGGTCCATAATTTTGATGAGAGTAGGAGGCATTTTGAGTGTTTGGCATAGAGTAACCACCTCGCTGCATGCAACTGTTGGAGTTCAAAAGGTCGTGCACGGGCGGAATGGAAGCTGGACTCCATATGGACGATTGACTGGTCATCGTGTTCGTAGGGGGCGTACTGACCACTGGGGGTTTACAGTAGACGGGGGAGGTAGATGCCGGGGGTGGTGATTTCGCCTTCTTTGGGGTTGGAGGCTTAGATTTCCCCTCCTGTGCTTTCTGCTGTTGTCTGCATTTGGCGCGTCTGTTCTTAAACCAAACCTACCGAGAAAGAAAATAAACCGTCAAAGTCAAGTCTCCCACGCAAGAGTATTTCAGTTTTAGAGGCTTATGCCATAAAAATAAGACCATTTGCAAATACAAAAGGTTAAGTCTAAAGGCAATGTATGCATTAGGTAGATTTTCAATAATTATTGTTATTATGCTAGATGTTGTATGATGACAATATCGGTAACAACCTATGTGTGCATTTCAGATTTAAGAGATTAGGAGCAGCGAATTACTCTCAAAAAGGTTAACTTGGTGTCCCTCAAAATCCTAAATGTATATATAATTCACAGCTTAAGAGGAGTTGAGGTGAATTGTTGACTTATTTTAAAATACTTAATGATTAGTCTCTTGCATCAGAATTACAAACACTTTAACAGAAAATCCTATTTGATTTTTTTTTTAAACTGACAATTGACGGGTAAAGTAGTATTGCATAAACGGATAGGAGAAATTTCTTCGGAAGCCATCGCGTAAATTGAGAAATAAAAGTCTGTCGTGCAAAAAAAAAGGATTTTTTTAGTATTAACACGCAACAAAAATATATAATAAAACAAATTTCGCAGTTACATTATTATACGTTTAATTCCCCGTTATTTTGCTTATCAATGCTGATCCGTGACAGTCACACAATATTGTGTTACCGTCGTCAGTTCTCAATATTGTAGCACCCTTTTTTTTATTTTTTTTTTACCAATTTTCAATTTCCGTTAACCTCCCGCGTCATCGCAAATGTAAAATTCCTCCAACTGTCAAAAATTCCATAAAAAAAGACAACAATTACTTTTCACGTTTCGTATAAAAACATAAAGTTGGCATGTATTCATTGTCTAATTGAAAGGTGATGTTTGTACAGAGATGGTTTTACCGAGTCATGTTAATTACTATTAATTTGTTTAATTGAAAGAAATAATCAGATAATTAGATGGACTATAAAGCATTAATGCTGAACCCTTTACGCTTCAGTGCCTTGGGCTGGAAGCTCAATACTTTAGAACGGTGCCTTACTATCGGGCTTGTTTGGTTTAAGAATTAAAGAAAAAAACAGACGGAACGGAAATATCCAAACATCCCCGAGCTATTTATCTTTCTACATTCCATTTACAGATGTTTATTCTAATCATTATTGTCTCCGGCTTCAGAAGACCGGGGTAAAGATTTCTCAGGCCATTACAAGCAACACCACCATCAATGACCAAACAAACCGGGGGACCGAAACAATCCAGTAATTAACACCAAGTGATTTGACACCTGCTTGTATATTATCCAAATATCACCGTGTCATTGTTACATACACATCAAATAAACAGAGAATCCGGAATAAAATTACCTGTACGCGGGATTCTGGAAGGTTTATCTTCAGGGCTACTTCCTCTCTCATGAAGATGTCTGGATATCTGGTTTTCTGGAATAGTGATTCCAGAATGTCTAGCTGGGCGCGGGTAAATGTTGTCCTCTCTCTCCTCTGTTTGCGGGGGTTGGAGGCTGAAGACATATACATGTCTAAATAATTAAACGCAGATTTTACTCTGCCGAATTTAAAGAGGTGACATATCAAGAAACACAATACAAAATAATCTACATTTACATATAGAAATTTATGTAAGATTCGATTGGCCAATATCTGTAAAGATCTTTAATGCTTTATTTTAGAATTAACACTGATTAAGAATTTATGATAATGTCATCATGTTTATTAAGAAAATGGTTTAAAATTGCTATACTAAAGGAATATGCTCTGAAGTGCATGCACTGTTAACCTTCATGAGAATTTTTTAAAGCATTCTTGCAGAGAAAGACACATTCGATCCAAGATTTTACAACAGCCTTTTATAAAAGGTTTCAATTCTTAATATTGTTTAAACTTATTGATTTTAAAAACATGGAATGGTGAAAATGATGACCTGCTCTTGACCCTGCATGATAATGGAGAATTTTTAGATTTCAAATTTAGACGTAGCACACATGGCGAATACTGTCGTACATTGTTACCCAGACCGGCTTTCTCGCGTTATGAATTAAATGAACTCTTTCTTTGAGAATACATCTTACAATTTCTTTACTAAGACTAGGGGAAAACGTGACCGTCTGAATGAGAAAAGTTGTCGCCGGACGCAGATTTCAGAATATAAATTTTATTCCATTCATGTTTTTTTTCCACAAATACTGCATTTTAAGTGTACATTAATTTGAAGAAAAAAGCTGTCCAAGACATTTAAAAAAAAAGACATATTTTATAAGGAATGGAATCTTCAAATCATTTAATGATCTATGATAATTACCCAATGTTGAAACATTTTTACTTCATCATGAACCGTCATTTTAAAACACAAATTTCGACATGCTCTTCTTGAGACAGATAGAGGAGATCGTTTTCTACAATGTATCAAACGACAGTGGCCAAAATAAGACATAAAAGTCTCCCGGGTGGCTCTCTCAGTCCCGGACAATACTCAACAGTAAAGGGATGGATATCAAAGACCCCAACAACGGACCCCGTGGGGCGATCCGCCATTATTGCGGACTTCCGGAGCGTGAACGGGAGTGCTCGCCATTTTTCGTTTGGTCACTGTAATTGTTGAAGCTGGCAAGGACCTATTTCCTGTCCATCTCATTATTTATATATTTCTCCCGAAAGTAACCCTAATTATTTACTACAGCTAGGTCCCCCTGACGTAAGGAAAAATTGTTTACTGACAACTGATCCTATAAACTTAACAGGAGTTTATTCACATGTTTTTCTAAAAACTTTAGACTTGAAAATGACGTTTAATTGTTAGAAGTACTAATATACTGTGAATTTCAAGTAAATGTCAAATCTAAATTTCTACGAATAAACAGTTTGATTTATTGTCATATATATGTCAGTAAAATAAATGAATATGAAATCTATGTCACTGTGTTTTCTCTGCAGACATTTTTTAAGCCGTCTATCACAATTTTTTGTGGAAAAGGAAATCAAACTAAACATGATGACGTTTCAATTAAAGATAATAATAGAAAAAAATAATAAAAATAATTAGTGTAAAGGTTAAAACTTACCAGGGTATCCCATGGCGGGGTGCATCATTTCCACATTAGGGGAGGATAAGCTGATTCCATTGACGGAGTATGGAGGCACCTTACTGTTCGGAGGGAGAACAGTGGATTGGTTGTAGGCCATGCTGGCGATCGACATTGCTGGCTGGGTCTGGATGTGGGGGTCAGGGGAAGTCTCGAGGTACACTTCCGTGGGGGGAGCGGCAGGCTGGGCTGTAGGGTGACCTTCGGTTTCAGTCAATGTACCGGTTTGAGCTGAAGGGGAAAATAATTCAAAAATGACTGACAGGGATCATCGTATCGGCTTATCCCTAGAGAGGTTTTGTCAGTATGTTCACATAATTGTGTATCCCTTACAACATAATGTCCCAGTGAGGAAAAAAAACATGTACACACAGGGATATGTCCATTTGTCCTTTCTCTGGTTTCTGATTTTAATCCCACCCCTTTCTCCCCGATGCTATTATCTGCCTTTAATGGGGATTGGCTGTTATCTGTCATCGCCAACCAATCGGGTTAATCAACATCGGATGCGGTTTTATTTCTGTTTTTCAATGATGATAATCACAGAGGCATAAAAAAATATTAGGATAATATTTAATGAACGAAAGTTTTAAGCTCGTTTTTATTTCGGTTTTTATACTGACTGATCGTTATATCATTAAACATTTTTTTTGAAATTAATTTACTTATTAAGCATATCCTAAAAATCACTGCTTTTTGGAAAAAAAATTAAAATATATTGAATTTATAATTTTTCGTCTCTTGGACCTAATATTCCGTATAATGTGGATAAATTACTTTGCGTAGCATAAAATTGGATGTAAGCAAAAAAAGCAAGTTTTCAAAGAAAAATTCAGTCGGGATAATTAGCGATTCCGTCGGATTTCATTAAAAAGCGAAGTTTCGTTTAATTATTCATTAAATATCGGCCTTGTGCATTCATGGCAAATAATGCCAAGTTCTACTTTGGAGTCCCAGTTCCTTTGAAAATTTGATTTGGACTGTATATTTCTATCTGAAAGTCTCTCTCCCGGGAAACATCATTTCATTGTATTATCAGACTCGATGATTTATAATATATGGGGAATTATTATTTTCAAATTAAAAAAATGATAATTTTAATTAAAATATTTTTTATCATTATTTTGGTTAGTGGTTACATTTTAAATTTGTATATTTTTATTTAGATTTTTAATATAAAACTACATAGTTAATTCAATTAAAGTTAAGTATGGACAGTGGAAATTCATTTCATCTTTGAGTTAAAATATTCATTCATATAAATAAATAAAACGAAAACGCATTGTTTACATTTTGTTGCCTATTAAAACTAGGATGAAACCGATCAAATGAAACTCGGTGGAGGGGTGTACTTCGATGTTGGTCCGAGTAACACGATACCCCAGCGACTACGACTAAAAAGGACTCCCTTTCTTTCCGCCCGTGATTGCGCTTTCCCAAAAAACAAACAACTTCCAGGATATTTGAACCGGGGTTGGTAAACAATTTTCTTACAAATTAATTCGAATCAAGTTCACACTGAAAATTATCGTTTTCCTGAGGCGTGATTTATAAAGACTGGAAACAAAGTGATAGAACGGAAATATTTGCCGAAACCAAACTGCAGAGCTTACAAGAGTTGTTCACAATATATGTGCAAATATGGAAAATCATATTGACTCTCTCGGACCCATTTGTTTAGAAGCGGTAACTCGCCTATTTACTTCTAATAATGATTCCACGAGTTCCAGTACTGGACAGGATTGGTCAAACAAATTCCAGCAAATATTTATTCGCCTGTGTTTACTCAATGACAGGAAAGCGGACAGTTTTAACTCAATTAACAGAGTGATTCCACGTGCTTTTCACACCTATGTTTATGATGAGTGAGAAATTACTATCATATCTTACACTTGTACAATAAACCTTGAAGAGTGACATACACACAAATTAATTAACCAATAATTGAATGATTGCTTTACCGTTGAGGTATAGCAATTTTAATAATTAGGGAATTCTTGAGTTAAAGAAATTATCAGTTTATTTTTACTGTAAGTAATATGATTTAAAATAAATGATTTAAATTTATAAATATAATTAAAGGAAATCAAAAGCAATAAAAAGAAACGTTTTCAAAATTGAGTTTATTTTATACCATAAATTAATTTTGTTTCTAAATCAATGTATATTTCTCAGATATGATTTGAATTTAACGAATAAAATTGTGTTGCTGGTTTCCATGGGGAATTGTTACAACTAGGCAACTATTTCAATCGAATAAAAAGGCGAGCTTTTGTTGACGGTTGAAAATGTTCACACACACGTTCAGAAACCCATACTTGACTTGTTCTAAATTTATCAATCCATCCCATGATAAAACTCTCAATACTTCGGACGTTTGCTTGCGTAACACATGAGAAATTTTATCAACTTCAAATATGGCCTTCCTAATATTTCGTCCGACAAACAATAATCACAACATTATCAGGTCCGCGTATTGACCAGTCAGTTGAAGTCCGGAGAGTAAGATTCGATGTTTACAAATTCAATATCGGAGAGACACATTCACTTAATAATTAAATGAGATAATTCTTCAAGATTCGATTAACAATCTGCAATGAATTTTTCTTTTACTAAATGTTAAATAAAACTTGTTAAGTGTTAAAGAACATCTTGAGTAAACAAAGTCCAAAATGTAAATAAAATCTAACAAGTTAATTTATCTTCCAACATCTTAAATAGTATAAGGAGTTTATATCTAAAAATCATAATAATTTTACTTTGTAATAGGATAGGAACAATTTAATTTTTCAAATCAGATTAACACATCTAATGTGAAAATCTCTTGTAATAACATTACACACACAAGATAATCTACCCCTTACCCTCTATATCCTCTGCCGAAACAGTCATCGTACAATCTCCAACAGACATATCCCCTCCACAAATATAATCTTCTTTATTTATTATATTCTTGCTTTAAAAAATATTCCTTTTTTAATAAATCTTTTTTGTTCAAAACCGAATTCCAAACAAGCAGGGTTAGTCCGAAATAAATGTCCAGTATGTAGCCTATTTTTGTTAAGTGTATATTTTTCGGTGACGTTGATTGGGCGTTTAGAATTGTGGTGCTCGCCGGTAATGACTCAATTAGTGAAGAATTAAACGGAAGCCTTGCGTATATAATGGACCTTCGGACACAGGGACCCTCACTATTAATTACAAGCCTATTCACGCAACATAAGGGTCTTTTAAATATTTTTCAACATTTTAAAATTCTAACTACTCCTTATTTTTGCAAAACTGGGACCATCGACTCCTATATGGAAAATTTCAGTTAAAGTAATATTTATTTTTATTACATATGAATATAATTATGCATATTATTAGTGCATGAAGAAGCATGGCATATATGGACATCAATACAAAACATTTTTAGTACAGATATAATCTGCGAATTAAAATTAAGTGTATTAAATTTAATACGACTTACCAGTCATATAGAACTATTAGGCAGATATTTTGTCCGCTGTCACCTGTGAATAGAAGCAATAATCCCTTATTACGAGTACCAGGGTAAAACAGAAATACCCATATCACTGAAGAAAAGGCATGAAATCTGATTATCTGCAGATTAAAATGTAATTGCGTAAATTCTTACCTTTGTCTTAAAGTATTAAAACCATAAATTGGCGAAATTACTACCGGGAGATTAAAATGAAAAAAACTAAGAGGCTTGCTTAACCGTGTAAAAGCCGGCTTATGTCGCAGGGATGAATAAATAATAATGATTGATCCAGAAGTTAGATATTTTACCCTCAAAATACTCCAAAACAAACGCTTAACTCCGCCCACCCTTGACAGATCGACCAATCAGCGCGCGGCGTATTCCTCAAAGTGACGAGTCGATCGCTAACATAAGTGTTAGAGTAACTGCAATTTAAATATAATTTACTATTATAACAATAGGACCGATAATTAAGATATCACTTATATTTTTGAACTAAGTTTAAAAAAAAAAAATTAATTGATTTATATTTCCTGTAGATACCCGTTTGACTTTTAGATACAAGAATCTGTTACGTTAAAGGCCCTTTCCTGTTTATTAAAACACATGTTTACTATTTATTCTGCGTGATTGAGATCCTTTTTTTTGTTCAAACATCCTTCCTCAGATAATCAAAAAAGTATACCACGATCAGAGGAAACGGGAAAATAGTGTCATCACGCTTAATATTTAGATGTCAGCTTGGAATTACATATAGGTGTTAAAGTAAACAAGTTTTATCATTTGGGCAAAAAATGCTTATATATTCTAAATTATCATTAGTAAAATATATAAAATCTGAATCAGGCTATCGGATTGGACTATTACAGGAGTTAATTTCACTGCAAGGAAATATATCCTAATGTGTTATACATAAAAAAGATCGAAATGTATTTAATTTAATCCGATTGCGTCAATGAAAATATATACATATATAAATTTTTCAATCATATTAAGACTTAATTTTAGCACCTACTTGCGTTAAGCATGTTCAATGGTTTTTAGCGTAAAAGTCACATTTGTGTTTATAGAAATATATTATGGAATATATATGTATAATATATATATTGAAGAATATTCTCCGATAAATTTAAATTCATAGAATCAAGAGACTGAGGGTGAATTTTCAGGAGTGTGTGTGTTCTATTGATGCAGACAGTGACGTCACTATGAATGGAAATAAATGTGATAAAATATTTATCGAGTTTGCATAGGATTGGAAGAACCATTTATGATAGGTTTCTATTTTTAATAGGAGTTTATATATTGGATTTTTTAAATTAGAATTTTTTATATTTATCTAAGAAACGTTTGATATAGAAATCAGAAGTAGGAATAGTGAAAACTGTTTTCAAAGTTCAAATGCATTCCTACAATGTCATTCAATTGTGAGTTTTTCTTGGTTTTAAATTGAATTGATATTTGTATCTCTCTTTTTTTTTTTTTTTTTTTTGCAAATCTTAAGGACAGATTTTTGTATACTTCTTTCAGTTATGGAGAGAGAGAGAGAGAGAGAGAGAGAGAGAGAGAGAGAGAGAGAGAGAGAGTTCAAATTCGCTGAAAGTGAGGTATCAGTAAGGAAGCCCATTTACTGATGATGTTATAAAATGTTATATGATTCTTATATAATTTATTCAAAAAAAAAAAACAAAAAAAAAAAAAAAAAAACAAACAAACAAACAAACAAAAAAAAACCAAAACAAAACAAGAAAAAAAACCCGATTGATAGTATTTAAGTTGGCTGCACAATTTACATCCATGTAGCAGGCATTCATTTAAGTTAATAATATGTAGCTACAGAAAGTCATTTGTAGTCTATATAAATTATATTTTTTTAAGTTTAAAGGTGTTTTACATTTATTTACATTTACGAGTATACCCTGCCTTCCAGGAAATATTATAATGTACGTGTATAATCAATATCATATATATGCACAAATAGTTCTCAATTGAAATTAAATGATATGATTTGACAGTAAATATACTGAAAATCGGGAAAAAAATAATGCATAAATAAATAAAAGATAAAATGAATGAAATTAATTAATTAATTTTTCATTGAAAAATTCTTTAATGAAAGAAAAATTCTTTAATGAAATATAAAGAAAGAATTTTAAAATATATTATTTCATTATTTTCATGATTACCGCATTCAAAGTAACTTGTCTCACGTCCCTTGGTTTAGAAAAAAAAAAAAAAACGACATCAAAGCTTGTACTAATAATTATTTTGATTAAGGTAATAATTAATTATTTCAAAATATATTGAAACATGTTGGGATATGTGAAATATGGTGGGATTGTTGTTTATTTGTAGTTACCCCTTACTGGGTGCATACTGGGTTTTAGCGGGGTAGGTGCAAAGTTTTCTATAATTAGTGCACAAAACGACTAATTAAGTGTTCGGCGGATGCTTTGTACATCATCGGCTTAGTGTGGTCACAAAGGGATTAATCCGAGGTGGTCCGAATGATGAATGTAGAGGCCTGTCGGAACGAAGCCCTTCTCGAGGCAAGCCCAAGCAATTCCCCATAATTAGCTCGTGTGGTTTGTTGATTGTCCAACGGTAAACCCACTGAATAACTCAATATTGAAAAAAATCAAAACAAGTTTCTTGAATTAAAAAGAACAAACACATTGTTTCAGCCGTGCAGTTGCTTAATATATGTAATTTTTAAAAGTATGAATTAATAATTTTAATTCTAAAAAAAAGAAAAAATAAATAAATGATCGAATATATAATCCAAGTAATCGGTAAATAATTATAGTGTGAATTGAAAGAATTTAAGTTTTATACACTGCACAGGAAAAAAAGGGAAAATAAATTGAAGAAAAAAGTTAAATGTGCCACATCCGAAACGATGAATTTACAAATACGTATATATGTTATATTAGGTAAAATTATATTATACATGTATTTCTATTCTGTCAGAGCCCTAAACGAAGTTTCTGGGCTTATCGCGTTGTTACGGCCAAAACCGTACCAGAAAAAACACGCATAATCTGTTTTTGACAATTTGTGATTTTTGTAATTCCACGGATTAGCGATAAATATGAATCGAACTAATGGCTTTATTGTCCGAGATAATAAGAAATCTAACAGGAATGCTATAAAAAGTCGCCAGGTTAAGTGATGTGTTAGATTTTGCTCGTTTTTACGTGTTGTCTTAATGAGTGTCATTACATGGCATGTTTTGTACCCGGGCTTCTCTAAATACATGTTTTTCAATTTTATAGCTGTAATATAAAAACAAAAATGTGATCAATGCTGATACATGTATAGAAGTGACAGTGGGGATATTCCGCAGAAATGACAATGGAAAATATAATATTTACATTCAAGTTGTGCTTATAGATAAGAAATGACGTTGTCATTCTTGGCTTTTTTTTGTTTTTATTCATTTATTATTTTCTCTCTCTCTCTTTTTGCACGTATTGGCCTTTCGATATTGCAATCGTGTTGTAAATTTTGAATTTACTTGGAGGGTTAATGCAAATGTAAATTTTGCCTTTACCCCCCCCCTTTGTAAATTCAATTTTTACAACATAATATTGCCCCCGACCTTTGCTTACGACTCATTCTGCGTGAACTGATACGCTTTTGATTTCTGCTCTGAATCTTTGCTATACCCCCCGCTTGAAAAGTGGGAAGGCATACTGTAATCGGTATGTCCGTCCGTCCGTCTGTCTGTTACGCTTTGGGGTACCCATCTCTTATCCGCAACTCCTTTTATACCACTGAGTGAAATTTAATGAAACTTTCACAGAATCTTTATTACATATTGCCATTGTGCACCTCCTATTTTATTTTTTGATCCAACACATATTTTGGGTTTCCCGGCCACAGCAAAACATGGACTTTGCCATTATAATCATATGGGAGGCGGGGGGTATCATTTAGTGAGCTCATTGCTCACAGTACCTCTAGTTGTTCTTGATTTTAACCCGGATAACACCTGAATAGAAAGGACATAACTAAAAAAGTATTCACGAAGATGATTGAATTGAATGAGACTCCCAACCCCTCCTCACAACAAATGGCTAAACTTTAAAATCACGCAGGTTTATTCCTGGACACCGTTAGGATTTATCATAATCCTAATATCCAAATTTGTAAATTTCTTATTCTTACAAGTTCAGTTAATATTCGGATAAAATTAGCATAGAGGGATTCGAACTTTCGAAAGAAATTCAGAAACCATATGATCTGGTGAGAGATTTATGCAATCGAGTTGAATGGATGATAAAACAAAATTCAAGAATTTTAAAACATAATACAAAAACGACAAACCTAGATTATCTTGACATTAAAAGTCAAAGGAAAATTCCCCTTATTTAGTAAAGAACAGTTTAAATGCAACAAATTCATTCGCATAAAAAGGGAAATGAAAAAAAAAAGATAATCTCTGTCTTAGAGTGTATCAATAATACGCATATTCAGGTGACCTCCAAAGGCTACGGACCTACTGCACACACAAACATCATAAAATACATTTAATTTCTAAGATTGAAATGCCTCTTTCACCTGTTAAATGCTTATCCTATTATCATATTTTCGTAAACTGTTTGTTGCATACATTTTAAATATGATGTATAATAAATAAAAAAAACTATCCATACAATACTGACGGTTTTACTTCTTTAGATCAAAAGATGATATTGATTAATTGATTGTATGTTGTTTAAAGTCCCTCTCGAGAATATTTTCACTCATATGGAGTCATATGGAGACGCCAACACTTGCCAGTGGAGAGTTGCAAATTTTGTCCAATACTCGGCATTGAGGACCATTGAGCAATGAGGGATTTTTTTTTTCGTGCCAGCAACTACTGCGACACGGGACCTCGGTTTATACCGTCACATCCTTCGGACCGGTCTCCACGTCCCACAGTGGGATGCGAACCCGCGACGTAAGGATCAACTCCTAAAAGATGATATTGATGCAATATACAACATAGCATGAGTTCTTATTTTTAAGATGTATTTTCGTGCGATTTTGTCTATCACAATTGTGTTGTGTGCTCACCTTCTTAAATTCTGATGAAGAATGTTTGAGATCGATATTGTTCATTATCATTACCTTTTTCGTAGGTCACTTTCAAGTCTTCAATTTTTCTGATAGTTTAACTAAATTATAATTCGAAGCAATGATGGACAAAACTTACAAGAGAGTATATTATTTGATTTCTTTATTGCTAAAGACATACATCTTATAGCATAAATATGTTGAAATCACTTTTTGTTAGACATTCAAATTATTACTACATTTGAAAGTTCAACATCTTTCGATTATATAATGTG